CGCGACGTTGTCGAGTACCGCTTGCGGCGCACCTCGCCTCCACTCCCCGCCACCCACTAGGTCGTCTATCTCTTGCCCATGTCCGAGCGTGTCCGGTTCGTCACTCCCCCACCATGCGTCCCCGCCGATCGTCGCCTCTCCATCGTGTGTGTGTGTGTGTGTGTGTGTGTGTGTGTGTGTGCACTCCAGTGCTCGCCTCCTTGGTGGGTTTCTAAACTATGTTTGCGATTTGGGCTTTGGATTTTCATGACTCTTTTTTATTTATTTATTTCCCCTAATTCTATGTTTAGAAGACGGGTAAAACTAGGATCCAGGTGCACTCCAAGTGCACTCCAAGTGCACCAGCAGCAAGTCTAACTCAGTGCCTCTGGTGGCTGCGGGCTCGGCCCAGCCGTGGCGCCGAACCAAATCCTCTCCCCGTTGAGAGCTCCGCGAGAAGCCTGAGCATCCCCTCCTTGTCCAACTGCGTTTCTCACTGCCCCGTCGCCCACATCTCGATCTTCTTGGGCAGCAGCTGGTCCGACAGGTCCTCTCCGTGGCCTAGACAGCGGTGGCGGCCCTCGCACCAGGTAAAGATGGTGTCCTCGCCGGTTGCGGGGGAGGCTCTGGTTGGTTCCAGTTGACATAGCGTTACCTCCCTTCGCGGCAAAAGCCTCGAACTCACGCAGCGCGGGGACTCCCATTATTAATGATCGAGATTAATTTTTATTTATTAATCATCGGGCGGCGGCGCGGCGCGGCGGCGGGCGCCCCAAGGCGGCGGCCCGCCAAGGCAGCGCCCAACCCAGGGCGGGGCGCCCCGGCGCCGGGTGGAATAATTACTTATTTGTTAATTAATTATTCCTTAATAATCATCGGGCGGCGGCGCGGCGGCGGGCGGGGCGGAGCGGGGCGGCGCGAACACCTGCTCTGATCAGACCTCCGGGCTCTGAGGCGGGGCAGTGTGGTCGTGCCGCCCTCGGCGCGCACGATTGCGCGCGTGGCACGATCCGAAGGAGCAGGCGGACATCGCTTCCAGGGAGGGGGGCGCACTTCTCACGCCCCCCCCCCCCCTAGCATGTGGTGAAGCCTCTGGGGGGGTCGGACCCCCCCCCCCTAGCATGTGGTAGGCACCCCCCAGCAGTTCGTGGGCTAGGAATAGCCGCCAGAGAGCCGATTTTTGCCCCCAAAGTTGTGAAATCGTGGCTGAAAGTCCAATATCTTGGAGAATCTGACCAGTCTCAAGGCTCATGTAGCTCCAAAGGATGATTTCCCCCTCGAGAATGCTGCGAAATGAGGCGTAAAATATCCAGGGCCCGGAGGGTCTGACCACGAGCCTCTGGGGGGGTCCTCGGCCATGACCCCCCGCCCCAGTATGTGGTGAAGCCTCTGGGGGGGTCGGACCCCCCCCCTAGCATGTGGTGTGAGCAGAAGTGCCCCACCCAGGTGTTATTAGAGACTAGGACTGCCTATCTCTCGCTGAAAGGAACCTCTCATTCGCTCTCGTCCGCACCCGTCACCGCTCACGGAGTGCTCCGCGTGCCGCATCGGCCGCCGCCGGCCGCGGCCGCTTACGCGGCAACGGAACAGTGTTACTACTCCGCAACGTTGAGCTGGATCAAACTGAATAGTGCTCCTGAAAGCCCTCTCTCTGGGCTCTGCCACACAGTAGCAGCTCACGACTAGCAGTTGCTGTGGCTGTATTTGTAGCCATTTTTAGGCTTCAACTGGTCCCAAAATAGTAGCAACACCTCATGAAAATCAGTCAAAAAAGCCCCAATAAAATCGGCGCCTGCGGCGGGCTTCTTGGGGCTGCGCCCCAGGCCCCCTTGACTGGGGGGACCCCCCCCGAGAGAGCACCCCCGTCGCCCCCGGGGGCCCGTCGACACCCCAGGACTGTGAGACCATGGGTGTGAGGTAAAACCACGCTACCAGCGCTTGGTCACATCGGCCCCGAGGTCAGATCCTTCTCCTTCGTTGATGGTAACACTTGTCTACTCGCTGGCAGACGGTGAACGAGCTAGCGTGCGGGGAGAGCGGCATTGTGTATGGTGCGGAGTGCATTGCCGTTCTTAACGGAGTCGCTTAGGCGGCTCCGGTGGTGAGCCGGTGTGTGTGCCAGTCCGCGCCAGTCCGCGCCCTTGTCGTGCCAGTGTGCTGTGAGATTTTATTTTAAGAATTCTTTTGCCGTGCATTGTAAAATTCTTTTGCCCAGTGTTGTGCGAGGGAGTTTGGTTGTAAAATTCTTTTGCTAGCGTGCGGGGACAGCGGCATTGTGCACGGTGCTATAAGTGCATTGGCCATTGCCGTTCTTAACGGAGTCGCTTAGGCAGCTCCGGTGGTGTGCCTGTGATAGTACTAAGGGCGTAGACCTTAATAGTACTAGCACGCGCCAGTTCGCACCTGTGTCGAGCCTGTCTGCTGTGAGAGAGAATTGTTTTGTCTAAATTCTTTGAGCTAGACTTCGTTGTTAACAAGCGAAGGCACACACAACATGACGCCAAACACACGATTGCACGCACCGCACACCGCACCCGGCACCCGCGCCCGCCGCCCCCCCGGCCCCCGCCCCGCCTAGGTGGGAAAGAGACGAGGAGATGGAAACAGCCCGAGGAAAGCGAAACAAACACGTGCGGGAGGGTAAAGTTGTGCACAATTCTTTTGCCAGCTGTGAGAGGGCGCGGGAAAATTCTTTTGCCAGCCCGGGAAAGGGGGAGGCTCGTTGGCGGGACAATGGCAGTGGAACTCCGCACCTCGCTGACGGCGGAGGTGTGTCTATCCGCGATCTCCGACATCGGGGAGGGTCGGTCGGTCAGCCAGGTCATCTCCGACGACCCCGAGGCGTTCTTCCGCAGCGCCGCCGCGCGGCGCGCGCTCTATGAGCTTGGCAGCGCGATTGACGGCCGGCGGTTCAGCTCGCGGGCGCGGCCGGTGGAGCTCGTGGTGCAGGAGGAGGGCAGGGACGGCGTCGTCTCCTCCGTCGCCCTCGCCGCCGTCGTCGACGGTCCCGCCCCGGGCTCGCCGCTCCGCTGCACGCTGCGCTGCGCTCAGGCGCCGGCGTCACCCGCGCCGAGCAGCGGGCGGGCGGTCGCGCCGGCGCTGTCGCCCGAGCTGCTTCCTGCCCGGCCCGCGCCCGCGCCAAAGACGCCGGCCGACGTCCCCGCGCAGCTCGGCGCACGCCGCGCCTCGCTGCGCCAGCAGGCCGGCGCGAAGCCAGACGCGCCACACACGGAGCACGCGGCGGCGGGCGAGGCGGGGCGGGAGGGCGGCAAGCGCAAGCGGCCGTCTGTCACGCCGGTGCGGCTGACCAAGGCGCGCGGCGCCGCCTAGCGCAGGGGCGTGCACTCTGTGGCGGCGGCCGGGGGGGGGGGGGGGGA